ATTTATATAGATCCAACAAAAATTGGACTGCCAGGACCTTCCCAGTGACCTTTTTGGAGTCCCTAAGTGGCCTTTTACAAGCCTAAAGTGACCTCAAACCAGGGGATCAAAAGGTCACTGGGAAGATCCAGGTATATATATATATATACTTATATATATATAATTGTATACTGTATATTTCTTTTGAGGCAGCCGACTCATAGAGCCCCCCAGGCTGAACCTTCGAAGGGTCCCAGGCTTGATCAGACGTTTTGGTTGTGACGTACGACGCCCCAGGAGTTGGCCAAAGAGCTCGCACGAAGCGAAGGCCCAGCAGAAGCTTTGGAACTCGCAGCCCGTGGCCTTGCTGAGGGGATGGATGTGGCAGCGACCTCAGTATCCATTCTGATCAGAATCCGTGAGAGATCCGTGAGATATTGAGATGTTGAGATGTAATTGTCCGCGCTACTGTAAGCGACTTTGATGTAGAAGATCTTCGGAACAATACCTCCCCACATGGCATGGTTTCTACGATTTTACTCCTAAGAAGCTGGAAGTGCGCATTGGGCTTCAAGCGATGCTGACTGACCACCACGCGTTTGGGATGAATCCTGCGGAGTTCAATGGCGCTTGGAATGCGTTCAAATTCCCGGAATGAGTTCTAACGTTTCTTTCTCTACACCTTTTCTCCCCCATGTAGAATTCCGCAATTCAGCAGCAGGTTGCTGGTTTGCCTTGCACCTGGTTGCTGGTTTGCCTTGCACCGAGTTGAGCATTTTACACCTGTATCATCAGCAGCCGTCACCGACTGCACATTGAAACATGCACCCCTGCTTGTTTCTGAAACCGTTTTTTTCCAGCTCACAGCTCCAGATCTCTGGCATTCTTGAGAACTTGTCCTCGGGCAATGAAGGCGTCATTAAACCCAATCCAATGCATCCATTGGGTCTATATAACCCGACTCTTTCTTCATCTTCTGCTGAAGGTTCGAGACTGTGTTCCAGCAACAGTTGCCCTTTTGTTGCCTTTTCCAGGAGGTTATCCAGCATCGCTTTCACACATCACATGTCCCGCCAAGCGTACTTGGCATTGGATTTGTCGAGGTTTTCAAAACTTGGTTGGCAGCATCACAGGCATTTATTGCCGTTTTAAAGATCTGTTACATGGCCAAACTCACAAAGCTTCGGATACAGTTGCTTTGGCTTCCATGCCCCGCAACTGCTCCCCAGTGGTACCAAAAGCCTCTCTTCCCCGAGGCTGACAAGGATCTTTTCGACCCTTCGGCCCTTCGGAGTGTGAGCTTCAGGGCCAATGCGTTCCTGGATTTTCAGAGCTCCTTCTTCGCCGAAGTGTCCCCTTCGGCTTTGAGATCCTCTAGCAGATGGCTTCTTTTTGTAGCCCTAGACTTAGAAACCGTAGCACAGAGCAGCTCAGGCGGAATCTGTCTAGCTGCATGCTTTTCAAACTACACGCTATCCCTGGACATATTTGGGTTTTCCTTGCAAGGTGAATTCCCGTTACGTTAAAATATATTAAAATAACTATTTGCGAAGCTGACAGTGGTACAATGGAAGTGTCGCTCTGGCAAGGTGCTCGTGCGGATGCTCGCGGGGGGGGTAGCTGGCGCACCTAGCGCAGAGATGCAACTTCATTCTCTGCACTTCTGTGGTTTTGATCTAGGCACCATCGCACGAGCACAAGCAAACTCCCACATCCGTCGTTGCAGCAAACAGATTCAACGCGATGAGCACACGGCGAGTCTACTTATGGGTTTGACCAACCCGGCCCGGCCCCATTAAGAAAGATCATATGTATGTGGGATTATGTGGGAATAAAGGTAGGTGCTAGGGGTTGGTCAAACCCATGCAACGTCTTGAGATGATTCTGAATATCCTTTACCCAAGGCCCGCACTGTCACAAACTTGAAGGGCATTGGCTTGAGGCATTAGATCAGGAACTTGAAGAAACTGTCCCAAGCGTGCAGCACCAGCCAGAGTTTTGCCAAGATACCATTTCCTTGGAGGGGGGCAGACAACACCTGCTGAACATAATCTCTCATAAAACAATTACTGCACTGTAATCTTTAGTGGCCGAGATCCCTCTTTTACATCCGGTCTCCCTCGAAATGGCTTGCCTGAAGCATCCTCCCTCCACTGCCCGTCAGGCTCCTGCAAGTGCGGTGGATCTCACCAGCGAAGTTGCCTCTTCACAGGAGGCGTTTTGTGAGGGGAGTTGACTCCTTGTCGAAACACATCTAAAGTAAATGAATCCTCAGAAGTGACCAGACGGCGCTGTCCAGAAACATGAATGTCATACCTAGCATTGATATCTTGACACGGGACGCTTGCGATTGAGTATTTAGATGTATTCAGACTCTTTTCTTTACACCCACAGAATGCAGAAGGACAACGCAGAATTCTTTTGTAGGAGTGGTGGGTGAAGGCTGGCAGAGTGCGCAGTATACATCAGCGCCACCCATCTTTTCTCGGGTTTCAACTGGCCAAGGTTGTTGGAACTCCCGATGAGCGGCTGCGAGTCTTGCCTAGGGATGCACGCCATGGACTTAGACCAACTGACACACGCTACAAAAAGCTACTTCAAGAACAAACTACATGGATGATGGGTGCCCCATTGTTGAAGCTATTCCGGGGCGGTATGTGAGCAAGTAACATGTCAAGAAATTGGACCATGCTTAAGGTTGGGGCTTCAATCCACGACCAAAATAATAAACAGCTTTCACTTGAAGGACCTTAGCAAAATCCATTGCTTTTCAAACATTTTGCGAAGGCTTTTGCAGAGGCTTTATATAGTCTTTTCAGGTCTTTCGCACACAGTTTCCCAGGCTTCCTGATGAATTGTGGTGGGATGGACAATGATTTCTTATTTATAGTAGATGGTGGGTGGGTGGGTGAGTGGGTCCCACCAAACAAAGACAGGGATGAGCAGGGATGTGTGCTTGCTGCCCCCATGCTGCTTGCATCATGGATGCCGCTCTATTTGCACAGAAACTTCGCAGTTGGAAGTGGGATGTGCATCAGAATGGGGAGGCCAGCGTGCAACAGTTGCTGGAGGGTCTTCCTATTCCAGACCTGGTGATGCGCGACACCGCGTCAGACAAAAGTTCTAAGGCTGGGATCTCGCGCGGAGATGCCGCACCCTGGCAAGGCAGGCGTGCCAGACTGGCAAAGCCAAGAATGCCTGGAAGAGCCGGCTCCAGAAAACAGAGGCTGGAGCAACCTATATAATATACTACATGGTTATAAGTTATAACAGGTTATTCATATAAATTTAAGTGTTCTGTGACCCGGACCTGTTGCTTGTTGTTTGTGTATTCCCCACAACTTGTGTTGAACAATGTTGAACACGTTGAGCAAGTGTCATGCTGAGAGCATCTTTGCAAGCTTAAGTCTGTGGGCAGGCTGCCAGGCAAGATGCGGCCTGGCTGACTCGGGCAGTTGACTTGAGAGAGAGGGGCACTGAGATGAGCACAAGGTGGTCCAATACGGAAGATTGGCTTTCATTGGGCAGTTCCCTGAACCCTTCAGGTAGTAGTACCACTAGTTGGATCGCCATGGACTTGGCTTTAGGCCAGTGATGGCAAATGGCTCTCGGACTTGGCATCTCGCTTGATTGAAGAGGAGGACCATGCTACAGGACATAGCTTGGGAACGTAGAACTTTGTGCGTGCTTTCGTGGTGTGCGGGGGCAGGCTGTCTTCTCTTCCATTTTTCTCTTCTCTTCCATTTTTCTCTTCTCTTCCATTTTTCTCTTCTCTTCCATTTTTCTCTTCTCTTCCATTTTTCCCTTCTCTTCCCTTCCCTTCTCTTCTCTTCTCTTCGCTTCGCTTCGCTTCTTTGTTCTTTCTTTTTCTTCTTTTGACCTTCAAGGGCCTGGCCAGGTGGGGGAGTTGAAGTCCATAAGGGATTTTGTGTTGTTTTGCTTTGTTCGCCCAAAAACTGGATTCGACGTCTCGTGCTTGTCTCTTTTATCAGTACGATGACTGGTAGGACCAGTTCGAAACCTCAGCGCCAGCAAACTGGGTCTACCGCAAATAGCTCCCGACAGCGGCAAATGTGGCAGAAGGATGTTTGATGGAGACCTGGATGGCAATGGTCCGGGTGACACTTGAGGGTTGAAAGGCGCTGTCCAAAGATTTGCTGTTAGGCGCCAGCAGGTTTGCTTTTCATTCTCCTTGGGCTTGTCAAGGATTTCGCTTGGAAGAGCTCACAGTTGAAGAGCTGGCCATGCAGCACTACTTTACTGAAGATGGAGGAAGCTTTCAATGTGGTATCCACTGTGAAGGCGCCATTCTCAGGGATCTGCGCCTTGGCTGAAGCTGAGCGGAGCTCGATAAGTCACCTACCGGCTCTCTGAAGGCCAACAGGCTTTGGAAGGTCGCATGTTACTTCAGCATTGACAGAGTTCTCTGAGAATGCAGTATATAACATTTGTGAATGAGAATTCTAAGTTGTGAAGGGGATCCCTGAATTCAAGTTTCAGTTCATTTCAGGGGAATCCGGCATCGGCATCGGCATGAACAGTATTTCGTTTCGGCACATGGTCAGGTTTGGCATTCTCCTCTTCGACCAGATGTTTCACTGCCCTTGGCTCAAAACATGAGGCATTTGCAGGTCAAGGTTGAAAATACCCTTCAGTAACAGGCCAGTAGCAACATCTATATACCAGCATGTATGACTGTCAACAGCTGCGATTTCCCCTCGAGCGATGCTGTTCTTTACTTCAGCGAAGGAACACAAAACTCCACCCAAGTCCGTGGTTTGCCTTGTGGAACTTCCGGCTGAGGTTCTGTGGAAGGGGCTTTCGTCTCTGCGTTTCAGGACGGCTGCGAAGCATCTTTGGGTCAAACTTGGGGCCACATAAGACCAGAAATCCCCGCAAGGGCGGGGCTGTTATGGAGCTATTTTTCAAGCACAAGGGCATGTAACGTGCATGTAACGTGGATGAGTGTGGTGCATGTTTCTGGCTTCAAGACTCTGCAGCCATGAGCCGCCGCTTTTTCCATGGGCAGGCGAGCTTTAGGAAGTGTGTTTTGTGCTGCTTTTTCTTGGAAGCTGCTTCAGCCGCAGAGCTTTGCACTGCGTGCCATGAGCTCCCCCATGGCACGTGTCACTGGCTTGTCACCAGGGCCCTATCCAGTGGGCGTCACCACCATGCAACTGAATGATGTAAGCCGACAAGAAGAGTCCAGACCTAGAAGTTTGCAGACAGAGATTTGGTATCCGGCCACCGATGAGACAAGGGGTTTGCCTCCCAACCGCTTTTCAGAGTTCCTAGGCCGGGGTGTTATTCCTGGCAGTATCGAGGCAGCTGAAGACAAAGATGCCATTGGAGGATATCGCAGTGGCCTCACTGTCAAAGAGCTGGACGAGACGTGGCCCAACGAAGCGGTTCGAGACGCTCGAGTCAGAGATCCGTTGGAGACCAGTACTTCGCATGGATGGCCTTTAGTGATTTTTTCCCATGGTTCTGGTGCGTATCGTGCAAGCTACATTTTCTGGACTGAGTTCTTAGCCTCTCAGGGTTTCATCGTTATGGCCTGTGATCATCCTGGCAGTGCGCGCTATACGCAGGTCAATGGACAAGTGGTCAAGCCAGGTGGGGCCCGCAGTGAGCGAGCGCAAATGGAAGCAGATCGGCCTAAAGACTTGATGTTTTTGCTCAACACGATGTCCCAGCTTGCAAATGGCCAGGACGCTGCTCTCGAGAGGGTTCGGTCATACAGAAGTTGAATCATGTTGAACAAATATACTGTCCTATGTTTGAATTATATAGCACTTCTACTTAATATATAACCAAAGCACTTGTGTTCAAGACATGTGTACATTGTGTCCATCATTCTTCCCTCTGGTTGTTTCCTACATACCCACTGGCCCACTGGGCGAGTCATGATGTGCATTAGTGGGTTCTCTTCATGTGCTAGACACATGTGCCAGCTTCATAACGTCATAGCCATTTTCAATCACTCGCGCCAGAAAATTTGTTTTCCATTTTGGCCGGAAGGTGTGGACGGTGTGGGAAGGTCGGGTGGACGACCGATGCCCAGGACAGCCGTTTCAGCGGCCGGGTGGATGTGAACAACACAGCCGTCACTGGGATGTCATTTGGTGGGTGGTCGGCAGCCAGCTGCTTGGAAGAGGGAGACTCCCGTATTAAGGCAGCCGTGATGATGTGGCTTGGCAGATGGTTTGGCTTGGGAGGCCCTTGGGGGGCTAAATCCGCGTACCTTTCACGTCATCATGTAGAGTTGCAAATTCCTGCCCGCACCCACGCGCACGTGCACAAACCGCAAAGAGAAGATCAACCTGAACTCAACCCCAACAAACACGTGCGCACCTGCACATACAGATATTTGATGATATTTGGACACGCGTGCAAGTGCATTTGGAAAATCACCACCCCCCTGTCTACATGAACGAGGAGGGACCTGCAGACATGCGATATATTGCAAAAACCTATTCTACTAACGTCGTGGAAGGCGCGTGACCTTCGTAGAACCCAAGGCTGTTCGTGGACAGTTCGTGGAATGGTGGGCCAGTAGGAGAACTGACTGCAACGAAATCCCAGAAACCTTCGCAGAACTTCGTGGAAGGTATTTTTGATGCACTAACTTCGTATAAGCCATTTTTGCTGACCCCCTTTCTCCACACACCCTCCATTTAGCCTTCAATATATATACACATTTTTCCTACGTTTGGAGGGAGGGTGGGGAAACGTAGCTTACATTTAGGGAGGCCGCCCCCCCCAGGAAATGCTCAAACTCACCACGGTGTGGAGGGGGAAGAGCTCGAACATACGACGACAACAAAGACAGAGCCAGAGCCATACCCGTGCAGTCACAACAGTTACTGTAATGATTTTGGCTGTTGGTGAAGACCAAAGTGGCACCTCAGAACCTTTCAGATCGCAATTCCATCATTGGTTGACTGACAAGCTTCTGGCCAATTCCTGCCAACCAACCAGTTCAGTAACGGCTCTCCGCCATTCTCCGCCTAGGTGTCCTTCTTTGATGTCTGCGGGCGGACGTATTATGAAAGACAGAAGCAACCTTGAGACACCGGTGATGATGATGATCGGAACAGAGGATACGGTGCTAGGTGCTGAGGGCAACGATGCCTGTCGCGAATATGCCTTGAAGCCCAAAGGTTCCAGCTATTTGTTGGAGATTAAGCTGGGAGGCCATTGCAGCTTTACCAGTTGCGACCTGTACAATCCAGCATACGGAAATGGCATCGGTGAAAGCAAAAGTCTTACAAAGCCTGGAGAGATGTACGAGGCACTGGACATCACGAAGCAACATGAGATCATCAATACATATGGCTTGGCTTTTCTGGACAAGTACCTGCGTGGTGGTGATGGCAATGTCTTGAAGCAGAATCAGTTTGAGGGGCACATGCTATATCGCATGTAGCCATGGAGTTCGAGCCAGCAGCCGACCAATCATGTGTCTCTCCTCGCTTTGCACACTGGATTTGTCCTGTGCAAAAAGGCACGCCTTACTTTTAGACACCGAGACCTATATAGTTGAAAGCAGTAGAATTAAGGAGTCAAACACGGGTGACGACCTGCTCCGCTAGCGCTCTCCTCAAGCGGCCCTTTGTAGAAGTTCAGGTGCAAGGATCTTGACGATCGAGTCATGCCACTCTTACACTGCCTTCTTTAAACCTCAGACGCACTCTAATTCAACAGGCAACCTATCCAGATGATCCAACAGCAGTAGTAAGGCTTGTTTTAGCTTGGGGCCCGAATATTGATTGTCGCTTTCGTGGGATGTCATGCGTTTGACTTCGCAAAGCGAAGATGGCGAAGCCCAGCACATCTGGAAAGGCGACATGACAGGATGGGTCAGGAGTGCATTGGTCATAAAGCTTTGGGGTGTGAGCGGCCATGGGAGAAGAGGGGGCATACTTGTTCAAAGCACAGAGACGGCAGATGTTGGAAGCAAGAAGGGAAGACAAACAAGCCAAACAGGATCAGACAACAAACTTTGGGGCATTGACTCACTACTGAGGTGAAAGCTCCGCTTCGCTGTGCCTCTCCAGAGCCAGAGGAGGACACTCCGCAAAAAGCAACTTCTGGAAGCTACCGATTGAAAAGCAAGAACTAGCTTGTAGAGTTAAGTCTGAATAACGTGTATTGAAAGTGACGGTCCAACTCTGAAAGGAGCGGCATGCATTAAAAACACACACACACACACACATATATATATATAATTAACAGATAATCTCTTGCATGATGCCTTTTTCCGAGCACTGAACCTGTTCATTCATCGCAGCTTGTCGTCCGTTGGGCGAAAGAAGGATACCTTTGGCCGGCTTTCCTCCCGCGCACGGGACGAAGACGGCCGAGATGGGCCCCCGGGCAATGTCGGTGCAAGGAAGGCGAAGCGGCGTGCCCTGTTTGAAAGAATTCGTGCTACGATGCTCGTAAGAGCATGAAACCTAATGGTTGTGGAAAGAACTAGTAAGTACCTGTACATTTGCGCGAAGCGACAGGTATGTTGGCTTTATGACTCCACGTGTGGAACATTTTGCCGCATTTTTCTTTCTGCGTTTGGCTCAGCCAAGGGAAGAAAGAGTTTGCCTGGATGGATTCAGACGACGAAGCTTCAGACAACAGCAATGAAACAGAAGAGGACAAAGCAGAAAAGAACTCCCCAAAGGCACAGGAGAAGCCGTCCAAGACCTATGGCTGCAGAAAGAACATGTCATGTGGTCATGCCGTGGAATGCTAGCTCGGTAGAGTTCTCAGGTTGTGCCGGGATCATGGAGAGGTCTTTTACTGCAGTCCTTTACTGTATCATTCACACTGAAAGGTCTTTTGCTGCGAGTGTTTGCTTGTTGATCGATCCTTGTCCTCGCCCGTTCGGCAAGTGACAAGGAAAAGCGACAGTGACGTAGAGGAACGGAGGAAGGACAGTGACGAGGACAGGGGAACAGATGGTAGACTAGAGAGAGTAGTGTCCCTGCTCGTGCATCAAGCAAGTTGAAAGCCTGCGCACCAGTCTTAAACTCTCAACTTTTCGAGTTCAACTTTTCCCAAACGGAAAGACTCCCAATCAAAGGAGCAAGGACGCCACCTAGGGGCTCCTGGCCGTCCTACTAGGAGCAAGGACGCTACTAGGGGCTCCTGGCCATAAGATGAACCACTTTCAGTGCGACAACACTGAAACAGTGGACTCGCCGCTGTCTTTGTACGACTTGAGTGCATGAGGAGCCCATTGCGGTCCCCTCGAGTGCTTCAGAGGTCCAGTCCTTGGTGCAGATGATGCGACTAATGGAGTGCCTTGGGCGCCGACTGGCGGTCTTTTGGTCCTTCGGTCCCGGTTTTTTCGATCTTTTTGACCCGCTCGGCCTTGCCTCCTTTCTTAATGAAGTAGGCGCCTACTTAAACAAGGGAGTAAGCTCCTAGCTACTTAAGCTACTGCATAGTTAGGGATGCAGGATATATAGCTCATGCTTCAAATAAGCCCCCCCCGCCTCGAAGAAGTGCTCGCACTTTTTGGGAAACCGAAGCACAAGGAGTGGGTGACCAGGAGACGGAGGCAAGGAAGTTCTGAGGATCAAACTAAGCTGATACAAATGAAGATGATACACAATGTCAAGGAAACAACGAGGCAACAATAAAGACAGGAGTGCCAATGACAACGGGACTTGGGTGCCCTGTAATTGGTGCAAGGCTCTCAAATCGGTATTCCCTTGGGATCCGCAACAGAGGTCCTGGCAGCGGCAGCGTGGGAAGATCCTTCGGTTGCCAATGGCGGAGTTGGCCCAAGTTTGTCTCGCTTGTGCCCGAGTGAAGTACTTTGACTCGCAGAGCTTTGCTGATATCATCGCGGCAGTGAAGGCGAGAGAGAGAGAGAGAGAGGGGCCAAACTACAACTGACCAAATGCAAGAGAAAAGCACCTCAATGTGGGGAAGATGTATGAACAGTGTGAACCTAGGAGCAGAAAAGTGCAGAGCAGAGACTGCCAGTGTTGTTTTTCTTCCTTCACTTGTCAGGTTCACTTGCGTAGCTACATACAGCTGAAAGCCGATGATGTCGGAGGTGTGCTGAGTGGTTTGGCAGACGTCAATGCCTATGACTCCAGGCTGATCACGAAAGGTAGCCTGGTAAGGGCTACCTTGAGTTTTCTTTGCGAAGCAAAGGGGTAGCTTGAACAGCCTGCTCGGGACCAAACACTGATATATAAATTCTATGACCCCCTTTCCATAGTGATGAATCAATCATTGATTAATCAATCATTTGGTGAGCCCCCACCTCGCCAGCACCACTAGCATTGCCCACCATAGCATGACGTCTATTCACTGGCAGCTAACAGCAATGCCCCGACAAGGAGGTTGCGCAATGCATGCACATTTGCGGTCTTTGCGAAGCGCGCGAAGCTCTGGGACCGCAGCCCACAGCTCTTACACATGCCAGCGTTACACGCCGCAACGCAAGCCAGCGTTCATACACCATATATATATATATAGCTCTATACACAAAGGAGCGTTGACGCAACACAGCCTGTACGCAAAGCCGTGCTGACAAACCTCACCACACCACATGCAGCAACCTCTCCTCACGACCCAGGCCACTCTTATGTGGAGCGCGCATGTGGCATACGACCGCATTTGTGCGGCACAGAGGCAGTTCACAGCTGCCACACAGCCTTGCGTTTAGACACCACGGGTTTGACACCCTGGCCACTCTTATGCAGAGCATGCGTGTGACATACGACCGCATTTGTGCAGCACAGCTTTGGCATCTAGCAGTTTTTGCAAGCCGCAGCTGTTACACAGCCCTATTGCGTTTAGATACTGCGGCTTTAATATTCCTGGTGACTCTCTACCTTTCCTGTTTCTCCTGATGTCATGAGATAATTAGATGACAACCTATTTCCCTTGCCAGACCCCCCCTTGTTGTGTCGGCATCGAGCTGAGGACAAGGAACTCTTTGAATTGGCCGCCTCTGCTTTGAATCGAACGGCGGGGCACTTGCAGCGGCCAGCTCGGAAGGTGATTCTTGATGCATTCAAGAAGGCCTGCCCTTTCAGATCCTTTCAGGCTTAAAAGCTGATGGACCTGAATGATTGCAGTGTAAGCATGTGCGAAAAGCTGCATCAAATCGGCTACGAATCAGTACATGGGGACCGTTTGTGATTATAGTGATATAATGTGATATAGTTACACATAGTTACACTGGTAACGGGTACGCTCAGCACAAGTGCGGCTTGTTGAGTAAACTTTACGCATTTCTGTCGCGAGGTGAAGCATCGCTCGGAGAACAGTTCTTTGCGAGAAATGTCGGAGCAGGAGGCAAAAGCGCGGTATGAAGAAAGATGCTCAGAGGCGCAGTTGAACCACAAAGAAGACACGTCACACTGATGTGTAGTCATTGAGTAGCTGAATGCGGGCAGTAAGACTTGCACATCACATATATATATATAACTCAATAAGTACCAAGTACAAAGCATGTATAACTCATCCATCCATCACTCATCACACCACATGCCGTTGCCCTGGACATGGTTTGGTCACATATTCTTGTTGGATCGTGTTGGTATTATAGAGTTTATTGGCCTAGAGCCTAAAGGCCTCTCACAGCATCGGTGACAACCAGAGATCGGACACTATTGGTTCAGGTTGCTGCCAGTTGGCAGAGGCCTGGAGCCTGTTCCACTACCTGGAGAGGTTTCGGCTAGACGAGTCCAGCGCTAAAAAAGGCTGCGTGACTGAAACTCGAGTCGTGAGGTTGCACCTCCCCTTTCTCACAAAGCTTGAAGGGGTACACAAGCAGCAAAGTTTTGGGAGACATCATTTTTCCACCCACTTGGGCATCTAAGCTGAGATGCCTGCGATGAGGGCAAAAGATTTGGAGCCCCATGCTTACTGTCTTGCAGCATTGATCACCCCAGACTGAGCAAATCTGGTTGTGCTTTGGCAGGACGCACCTTTGGATTTGGGCACTGAGGTGGGACTGAGCTCGGGTTCCAGATCAAGGGAGGGTCCAAGGAAACTCTTCCTAGCACCCTTTGGCAGCACAGACGGACATTCAACATCACTCAACCATGTACTCTTCATCACTCTTCTTTGGTTTCAGTTGAGCCACGTACCTGTGTTGGGTGTCGTCTCATTTAGTCGCTTCCGTATAGCACGACACATGGTATATATTATAAAGCATTGTAAATCTATGTAAATCTCGAGTGAATCACTTGGTCCGTTTTGCAACGCCCGCAGTAAGTGCAGAGAATGAGACCCTCGGTGTTGCCTGTTGAGTTGGGCCTGAAGGTATCGGACGACTAGCGTTAAGCAAAGTGTGCAAGCCATGTGTAAACGTGTTTGCTTATTTGCTTTGGGTTTTCTAGTGCATATTCTCATGGTGTGTTGTGGTGCAGAAAGTTTGTCCTAACTGTTTGGCGTAAGAGGAACACAAGCAATTCATGTCCCCTGCATGGTGGGAAAGCCGAAGTGCCACTTGGGTAGGCGAAGCGTAAGAACTTGCGCAAGCAGCGCAGCTTTGCTCCAAACAAAAGGTTTGAACAATGCTCAGTTGGCAGTGTGCCAGCTGCCAAGAGAGTCAAAGCTTTAAAACACATGTCATGAATGTGCTACTAGTAGATCCCATTTGCGCATGTGATGAAACATTCCATCAGCATTTTGGAGCCAAAATGTGCAAAAGGATTATAAAGGAATCTTGTAATACCACACTCACAAGGACAGCCAGAGCTGCAACACTGAGGATGAAAAAAACAGGTTTTGCCCATTGCCCATCGCTGATCTATTATCCACACCGAAACGCGCGATGTACACGCAATTTTCAATTTTTTTCGTTGTTTTTCTCTTCGGAGGCATTCTATCCATCACGATCCACCGCCATCGAAGCACGTGCCAGCCTTGGCAGCTACCTTTGTCATTTGTCTCTCTAACTTGTGATCTCTTGTGGTCTCGTGCGAAGCCACGTGGCGCTTCGCGAATTTTAGAGACCTTTTTGTTATCCTTTTTTGTTTTCTCCTTCAAGATGCGGACCTCTTAGGACCCGCAAGAATCTTAGGACTGCTTTCTTTCCCCTTCGTTGCCCACCGAGGCCTTGGTGAGTTGGCAGCGATGTCTGCAGGCGTCGACGCAGATTGCGGCGACGCAGTTTGCGGTGACGGTCCGACGGTCCTCTAGTGAGTGAGGAGAATTGATTGTGGAAAGAGAGCACAAGAAATAAGATGGGTTCATCATGGTTCATCTTAGGTGGAGGCCATCGCTATTAGGTGGAGGCCATTGCTACTCAAAGGTGGATCTATTGGTAAACCTTGCCTCAGGCGATGTCGCAGCAGACGTCCGACAGAACTTTCGGCGCCTCCAGGGCTGGCGGATCCGTGGTGTTCGATGGGACCGATATGATGCCACAGGCATGTTCCTGCAGCATGGTCGCACAACTGACAAAGCAGGTGGTGTAGAGTTGGCTCCAGATTTTCAATAACGTTTCATATTTCTTTGCAGGCACTACTGGACTACTGCTATGATGGTAAACTTTTTTCCCTTTTGAAAGTCCCGTTGGAGATGCGGAGCCGGCGGTGTAGCTATCTTGGGTTGTTGACGGGAGCTTTTGAGGCCTGCATCAAGCGATCCTCCTTCTCCCAACGACGAAAAGAAGGGGGAAAGTGAATCAAGTGCCGACGAGTCTTGGCCAAGTCGACCGGTGTGACTAAGAGTAGATGATGCAACCGAGTCGAGCGGTGTCACTTCGCCAAGGAAGTGACCAAAGCTGCAACACGGAGCCGAGTGCTATGCACCAGCTCCGCGGTGGAGGCGATTGGCCGCAGACTCTGGAGAGAATAGTGTAGTGTGTAGACCTGGTATGGTTTGACTTGGAAGCATCCACATTGGAGCATGTGTCCAAGGTCTCTTGGGATGGCGTGGATTACATGATTCAAGAAGCTGTTCTGGTTCTGATCATGCTAGCGTTGGCCTCATGGTTTTCTGCACCACAGCAGACAGAAGCAATTGTCCTTGCTACTATAGTCATTACCGATATTTGTGATTATATAATCTTCACATCCTTTGGGCTGTGGCACCACGATACCTTACTGTAGTTGACCACTCTAGTGTTGGTCGTTCGCAGACCGGTGGACGACCGTCGGGCGAACACGGTGGGTCACGACCCATCGTCGTTCGCCTCGTTGCAGGTGTCGTCAGAAGATCGACATCTCGCTGCTGCTGCTGGTGCGATGGGTGGCCGGGCCCTGGCGGCGGCACTGCGGCTTCTGTGCCGCTCAGTGATGACTTGCAGAGAGTTTCGGTGGATGGTGGCTTTCCAATTTTTTTGAAGAGTATCAAGTTTGTTTACCACCTGCTGAGGCACCTAGTGGCATGCTAAACTATGGCTATTGTTGGTGTATTTTTGGTGTCTATTGGAAATATTGTGCGGTGCATCATGTGCCCGACCATCCAACCCCATTTGCAATCTCGGGTTTTGAGTTTCGAGGTACGCAACCTGCAAGCTTTGCACATCCATTCCTGGTATAGCTTGTTCTTTCACTCGCCCCTCTCATAGATCCTCTGACTTGGAAGGTGAAGACTACAACTCTGCAGGGCTACCAGATCTATTGCCACTGGGACTTCACCACGGGGTGGGCGTGGGCGGAATCGCTGACTGAGCGACAGACCTCGCGACCTCGTGACTGGTTGACTTTGCGACGAAGGCTTTGGTCTTGGCAGTCCACATCCCCACGGGCGCGCTTTGTGGAGGTGAAGAGTGAACGTGACACCTTGGCCAGGAGGCGATTACGGGACTGCCATCGGGTGCGAAGAATCTTTGGGGGTCATTTTTTGAATCCCTGAGAAAAGAGGAATTTGTATGGATTCGTTCGGGTTTGCAAGGTCATCATTCATTCAAACTGCGGCCATTTTCTTTGTTGCGGTCAACAACCACCTGCCACCAGAATGAAAGCCTCTCTGTAGGAGAGCAACATACTATCCTGGAGGATAAGATGTTACATATTGACATATTGGATTATTGGACAGGTTCGGGACAAAAAGCACATGTGAAGATGGAACATGCACATACACAGCCTTGAGGATACCTCTGGAGCTCTATCCTCAGCCGGGCATCTCACGCCAGGCAAAGGCTATGGCTGTCAACGCTTCGAGCTGCTGGTGCAGAAGCAGAGGCAAAATCGAACGAAAGAAGACTTCCAAGGGTGGTCATGGCCTTGAATGGCTCATGTTGAGGGATCGTCTTCACCTTCTGCAATTCATTCAATGGACACCGTGGTGAAAAGTGAAAACCGCGAACACACGGTATACAGTATATAGATATATGATATATAGTGTGTTTCGTGCATAAGTTCCTTACATCTTGAAGGCCAACACAAGTAGAAGCACCTACTGTATCAACCATATGTTGCAGTTTTGCCCGACCATTTTGCAAAGATCTCTAGACTTGGATCTCCAATTTGAGTCGGCCAGCGAGGTGTGCCATGTACGAGACGGTCATGTTGAGGACATTCTGATCCGGGCTTCAAGTGCTTGTGAATCTCATTCAATGTGGCTCAGCAGTGCTGACCGTTTTGAACAGGAAGTCTTTCAGAACAAGATCCGGCAACGTCGAAAGCGAGCTGCCAGTGAGGGTAGCAGTGAGGGCTTTTGAGTGCAGGGTCTGGGGGCACTCGATGCATACCTCGCGAGGGCGAAGCTCCACTGGCATGTAGAAACCTAAGAGTTCTTGAAATTCAATTGAAAGAAGAGCTTCTCCCAACCAGCCGTGTTTAGAAGTCTAGACCACCGGCATACAAGCTTAGGGGGCTGAAACGCTTGTACGTTGCGTTGGAAAAGATTCCGGTTGTTTGCTGAACTTTTGCATGTTTTTAGTGCCATGGGTGACGCCCATACTAGAATATGAATCTTGCCTGCGTATGCAGCAGTCAGCATTCACGACCACTGGCTGAGGTTGAGAAGGAGATACCCACTTGGGAAGTGCCGCGCTTGTATTTGTCGGGAGGGTTGGCTGTGGCTCCGCACAGAGGAACGGAGCCTGAATTGCCTCCTGGGATGGGTGGAAGCCAATCCCTTCCAAGCTGCTCTTGCAAACTGCTCGAGAGACGATGAGAGGTTGCTGATTGAACAATACATGAGGAACGGCAGCAGGGACTTCCCTTGGGCACAATCTTCCCATGTCTCCTCCAGCCATGGTTGCTTTGAGTGAAGTGATTGGGAGAACGCCCTTGTGTGCCTGTATGTGCCTGTGTTATGGAAATTGAGGTGATTTGCATCTCGATTCTCAAAGCAAGGAAGGTAGCTCAACCACTGGTCCATTCTCACCTAAGTTTCCCTATGCTTGTGTCTGCCAGACCCCTTTATTCTAGAAGTTTTGCATCTTGAAAAAATAGCAACAAAAAAACAACAGAACATCAATCACAAAATGCAAGCAGAAAAACAAAAGCAATCACAAAAGCAACAAAAGAGCAAAACAAAAAGCAACCCCAAAATGAAACCAGAAAAACAAAAGTAATCATAAAAGCCAGAAAAAGCAAACAAAATTGCAAGCAAAAATGGAACAACTCAGCCGGGCTTTCTCGCGCGCTTTTTGGAAGGGTCCACTTTCTGGCGCACTTTTTCCAATATTTTCCCGGCGCCGGGTAAAAAGTCGCACTGTTTTTTTTTTTGGTGTTTTTCGCGCTTTTTTCGCTTTATTTTTTTTGCAAAAAAAGCAAAAAAGAGCGACAAAAAAGAAGCGAAAAAACAGCGACCAAAAGTGCGACTTTTTACCGGGCGCCGGGAAAAGATGGGAAAAAACGACCAAAAGTGCGACATTTGACCCGGCACCAGAAAAGACCCTTGTCCAGTACTAACCCTACCCGGCCCCTCCAAACTACCCTCTGTGTGTTGCTTGTGCTTTTTTATTGCATTTTTTTTGCTTTCTTGGTTGTTTTTTGTTTTGCTTGTGCTTTTTTGGTTGCACTTTTGGTTGCTTTTTTTTGCTCTTTTTTTGCTTTCTTGGTTGCTCTTTGTTTTGCTGGTGCTTTTTTGGTTTGCTTTTTTTCTAGTTTTTTTTTTTTTTAAGTTTCTGGATTTCTAGATAAAGCCACCTCTGGTGGACACAACCCTATGCTTTCCTAAAAATCTAGGAACCAAATGAATAGTGCGAGCACTCCTTCAAGGAAGGCAGCGGGGGGGAGCTTCCTGCAAGAAGCGTGAGCTATCCTGCGTCCTACCTAGAAGCATCTTGTACCTACTAGCTACTTAAGCTACCAGCTACCACCTCTTCTACCGGCCTACCCCCCCGGGCTTTAACACTTGGAAAACCAAATACACACACAATATAGGGGGTCAACCAGCATCTTCGCAGGTCATTGTGGGTCGCTCTTTGGATGTGCTGCGCAAGGCGGCATCATCGGAGGGTCGCCTGCTAAGTCTCATCGGTGTGGACGAGATAGGAGATCGTCATCGAACGATGATCGAGGCGATGTGACACACACGGCAAATGCCGAGTCAAATTGATTGGCACCACCAGCATCGGTTTCAGAGGCATCCTGCAACATGTAGGAAGCATCAGTCACATACTTTCAGAGGCGGGTGGGATGGATTTGGGGCTTGTGGAGTGGTCCATTCGTCCCGTGCCATCCGCCTAAGGCCGGCCCAAGCCTTTCCGCAATCTCATCACAGACAGGGACCACTCGTCAGTCCCGTCTTTTGCCAGTGATTTTTGTGCTGGGAGCGATCTAGTCTGGCAGACACATGCAGAAGAGTGGCAATCCCTAACTTGTGAAACTTGGACCAACCTGTTCAAGAGGATGGAACGACCAACAACTACTGCGACCGGTATGCCTCCAGCGTCCAGCCGGGAGCTCAACCGCTGAACGACCACATTGCCGCCCCGCCGTTCAACCGCCTTCGCATCATGCTCCAGCTTCTTGCTACTAGTAGCGATGCCAGGAGCCCCTAGTAGCTTCTTGTTCCTCAGCAGGTCGGCCTACAATGCAGCGTGGCTTTCGAACTTCTCCCGGCACTGCGTTGACAACGCGGTGCCTGACAAGATTGACAAGTCCGATGAGCGAACGATGGAGTGACATTTTGGCATGTCGTATTGTTTTCGTTAGTCGGCGGATGTCTTGAGGATCTGGAGTGGGGTCCTATCTCCAAACTCTCCCTGCACTGGAAGAACCCTGGCCCTGGCGTCTTAGCAAGCACCGTCCGGCGGCCCGGACGTGCCAGGTCTTCATCACGGCTGCACCACTGGGAGGGCGTCCAAGCGCAGAGGGGCTCATGGAGCTATGTCGGGAAACTGAGGCAACATGTTAATCCGTTGCATCAGTGTGCAGTCCGACCAGCATGGATTATCAAGTGATCTCATCGTGAAGATTTTGAAGATGGGGCCTGATTTGGATAACTTTCTGGTGCAAGCCCTTGATTCGTGCTACTGACATGGATGTCACCATTGCTTATATAGCTCTTTTGGATGACAAGCAGCCGGGTAGTTGAGTCTACACTTGAGAGCCGCGCTAAAGGACACAGTAGCAGGAGGGATGAACATGCAGTGCGTGAATGCAACATCGTCAATCGTTGCCTTTTCTTCCCCTGGTGCATGAGGTGTGGCTCCCAGAGGTTACTTTATCTACACAGGAGGGGCTCGGGGCGGCTCGGGGGCCTGTTGACCCAAGAAGAATATCCAAGGCGGAGGTTCTCCAGGGCAAGAGTCAGTCCAGTCAGTCCCAGCTTTCGAACACCTCGTTTCGCCATCGTGTGCCAGCGTGTGAGAAAGCAGGCTCCAAAGGCCGTGAGTACTACAGTGACTGGCACTTAGAACCACTGCTTGAGTGCATGACACAGCACTTGAGTGGAAACATGTGCCTCAATACTAACAGCAGAGCAGCATGTGAATGTTTGACCAGGTAGCCTTTGCATGCTTTTGCATGATTCCATGATATAATCATGATGCATTTCTGTTCTTGTTCTTGATGCATTTCTGACAGCGCCAAGGACGCAACTCAGCAGCTCCTGGAAGCGGAAGAGCTTCCCAAAGAGTCATGGGGCCTGAATGAGCCGGGATTTCTTGTTGTACCTTCATTCTTAGTGTACAGATGAGTCATTTGAACAAAGAACGTGTTTTTACCCTTCAGCGCAGTAACTGGCTACCCGTGACAGGGATACAAGAAGCACTACTGTCATTGTGACATTGATGGAAAGAGGAAGCGGTCACAATTCCCCAGGAAATCCCAGGAAGATCTCAGGAAGAGGACAAATCAGCGAAGACGAAGACCCAGTTGTTGGAGGATGTTGGAGGGTTTGTCTGCTCGAACGCACTCACCGATGCAAAAGTGCTGAGGCAGCGCGAGCTTGTGGAGGACCTGGAATCTGCTTGAGATGAGACTCAACAGCCCCGAAGATTGTGGAAGTGATGGCCACCTAATCAAAATACGACTCTCACTGGGCGTTCTTAAAGCATTTTGAATGCATTGATTGTACTGTACATTGACCAGGAGTTGCACCGCCGCATCTTGGCCCTCTGTCAGCAGCCGGGCCTCTCCAGTTCTCGCTCGACAGTTGCTGAAGGTTCTGAGCCAAAGTGATCGTTTGATATCATGACCTCTTGAATCGTCATGAATGTTGGACCATTCTCGATGTGATGTCCAAGTAGGCGAAAGCATTCTTGAACCGAGAATCTGTGTGAGTTCGATCCAGATCTGAGGCCTGGCAACACCAAGTTCCTAGGCATCGGCTCCGGTCTGCAGCGAAAGTTTGGCGAGGCAAGTTGCGATGTCAAAGGGGACGAACTCAGGACAAGCTGGTTCCAAACAACTTACAGTATATTGAAACTGTTTTTCTTCCTGAAAACTCTATCCAACTTGTCGCGATGCTGCATGATTGCCCATATTAGGTAGGATATCACAAGTCTCATATAGGTAATAGTATCACTGGATTGTTGGCCAAGAGTTGGCCATGCTGGCCTACAATATTTGACAGGTAACCATGGCCCGCAATGATCCAGCCCGAATCTCAAGAGATTCGTTTGCTTTATGCAAACTAGCACACATCCAACGCGCTGCTTTCGGATAGGACTGCCTTCATTTTAAAGAAATATGATGTCAGGACTGAAATGGAGGCCATGTTCACGATGGCCGAATGCCATAGCGATATGCACTGAGGCTGGGACAGTTCCGGAGCCGGAAAGTCGGCGCTTTATGGCTGCCGTGCGACGAGCATGGCTCCCAAGCGATGGGATGAAGTCAAGCTGAGCCATGTTTTCATAGTCAATTTGTGTGTCGACTGTTCACAGACAATGATAACTATATAACCGTGGGAAGTACAATTGGCCGGCATAGTTAGTCATATTATACAATGGTTGCCTCAGGTTTTAGTGATTGCAGTTGGAGAATCTCGATGTGAGGTGAAAGAAGAGCTCGATCCGGATGGCACAGGCGCTCAAGATGCCCGTGTCCACGGTTGGCCATCCAAGAACGGTCTGATCAGTGTGTCCGGGACAGCCTTATGGTGGCCGTTGGGCCAACCACTTCGGTGTGTTTGGTCGATGTTGCACATCGACCGAACGAGACTGGCAGGCCTCGATCTGCACGACACTGGTCAATCACCCAGCCTGCAAGCGAGAGGAACACAGGTAAAATGGCCTCCAACCTAGTAGCGTCCTTGCTT